GGATTATATTGGGTTGTTGTTGTTGTTGTTGTTGTTGCAGTATCCACTTAAGTTTAGTTTTCAGAGTAGCTTATACAGTAAGCACATCAGCTTGTTTTAGCTCTGCTGATCTCATCATCCCTTCAAACACATCATTAAATTAGAACGATACAAAAAAAGTTCATTATTCACCATATATTTCACGCTTGTTTTTATTAACTTAAGTTGATTAGTGATTAACAAGAAGAAACAGTTTCTAGGGGTGTACATTGGTCGGGTTGGTTCGAATTTTACAATCACCAAGCCAAACCAAATGTGTCGGATTATTAGAGCTGAAGATCAACCCAAACCAATAAAACTCGGGTTTTTCAATCTCGGTTTTCTCGGGTTTTCGGATTATTCAGGGTTTTCGGGTTTTTCCGGTAAAATCTTTGTAGAACAAAACATATAACTTGTGCTCACAATATTTCTTTAATCATAGTAAGATACAATTATATAAAGTATTTTCCAAGAAAATAATACAAAATATGAGATCTGTCATGGCATTATCCTAAAATATTCAACAATAAAATTATGTAATATAAATATTGCTAATTAAAAAGTTATAATAAAAATAAACATAATCTAAAAGTACTAAGTCATGCTAAAATAAGTAGACTAATAAGGAAGTATTAATTACATGACTAAACGCTAAAGAAAAAATAAAAATAGGTTATGCATTTTTATCTAAATTATTACAAAACAAAAAATAGATATTCAATATATTCCGGTTCGTACTATTGAATTGAGTCTTTTGTTAGCATTAATATTGATTTGATTTTAGTTTGTACTTTTGTTAGCATTATTTAATTTCCTAATATTAATGGCTATAAAATTTATTTGAACATTCAAAAGTTCTAAGTCCAACCTTGAAATAATACTTTAAAGGATAAAATTATGAAAAATTTTAAGAAATATTTATAAATTACATAACAATAAGTATATTTATATATTAAATATATCTAAAATTTCTATATATGTAATGTCAGGTTGGTTTGGTTTCGGTTTGACTTTCTTTAGTAAAACCAAACCAAACCAATTATGATCGGGGTTTTTTTCCAATACTAAACCAATCAAACCAAACCATAGTCGGATTTTTTTCTCGGTTTGACTCGGATTATCGGGTTGGTGCGGTTTGTCGGTTTCCTTTGTACACCCATAAGTTTCACAATTAAAAAGAAGAAACTTACACTTAAAAATTTTGGATTAAGGATTATGTGAATAGTTGGCGGTTCCTCTTAATCTATATCTATATTATATTAAAATGAGAGTAGTATGCATTGTGGTTAAGCCAAGTGGCAAGCTAAAATGAAGCCACTTGGCAATTTTAGGACAACATTAATAATTAGAAATTATATATAAAAACATAATTAATGGAGGTAGTTTAATGAATCTTATACATAATCTAAATAGATCTACAACAACAACAACGACTCAGTATAATCCCACAAGTGGGGTCTGGGGAGGGTAATATGTACGCAGACCTTACCCCTACCCTGAAGGGTAGAGAGGCTGTTTCTAAATAGATCTAGAAAGATCTATATATATATGTGTGTGTGTGTGCGTGTGTCATAAGCATTTGCTATAAAAATGTTCCCTTAGGCACGTGCTACATATCAAGCAAATTGTATAGCATCATTATTTTTTGTGGAACATTCATATCAAACAAATTGTATAGTATCATTATTTTTATGGAACATTTATTAGGAGATGGAATGAAAGTTTTACTGGAGTCTTAAAATATTTTTAATGTTTGTAAAGATGGTATTAATACTAACATATTAAACTTTATGGTGTAGATCGTTCTTTTTAATTATCCGCGCATCACGCGGGTACTAATACTAGTTAAGTTAATAGAAATAAAAGAGGAAAAACCTTTTCCCATCTAAAAGGAAAGATATTTCTGCCCCCTTTTCTTTATTTAGATGATTTTATTTTGGGAAATTTTCAGAAATCACTATGTTTTAGTGGTTATTAGCTAGTTGTAGTTACCATTTATTATATTACTTTCTATAGCTATATTTTCGGATTTTTTAAAGTGTATTCGATGTATTTAAGCTACTGTATTCATGAATACAGTAGCATTTCTCGACGTGAAACAGAGGATTACAACTAGACAGATTTTTGTATTCGACTGTATTCATGGCGTGAAAGAGGGGACTATAGGTAGACAGATTATTGTATTCAATCGTATTCACGATATGTAATTTTGAGTACAGTCACGTAAATAGCGCAAATCATGATTTATTCAGCTAATTTTAAACGGAAAGTGAATCAATTAACATAATAGACTCCTAATATAACTCAACTAACTCAATTACATCACCCATAATTTGTATTTGATGCGAAATATGCTGAATATTTTTTCCAGCCGATAAATACAACAAAAATAGAGCAATTTGAATACATATATAAATCTGAATACATAAATTATATTAATTTAAAATATATGTGAATACATTCATGTAATACAACGAGACAGTGAATACAATGAAATACATGGAATATAACGAGATACATTGAAATACAATGAAAAAGAAGACACTGTAATACAGTGAGATATATTGAAATACATTGAAATATATTAACAGAATCTTCAAGAAAGCTTTCTGATTGCACAAGCTACCCAGATCGACTCTCTAATTCCGTTTTCTCCCCGGATTCTCATATAAACACAAGATAGAAGATACAATGGCAATGACGATGGCAAGGGATAGCAACTTTGAAGATGACCAGCTCCATGCTATGTCTACTGATGATATTATTAGGGCTTCTCGCCTTCTCGACAATGAAATTCGAATCATTAGGGTACCTATCGATCTGTCGATGTTTATTTTTTGTTTGTTGAATGCTTTTGTTTTTTCGGTTTCGATTAGTGGTGTTTTTCTTCAAGTTGTTCCTTTTTCAGATCTGAAGGTGATGGATTCACCATTTTCTTTTTGCTGGTCGTGACATAACCAGTTAAAAATGGAGGGACTATGGTGGTTAGGTTGAAAAGGTTAAGGTGGAAGATGAAAGAGAGACAGAGATAGAGGAAGAATAGATACGGGGTAGGGGATACAAGAGATTTGAGGGATACGAGAAATTTGAGGGGAGAGAGAAAATAATACAAAGCTTATTTTATAGCTTAAGGGTAGGAGGTGACCATAAATAGATATTTGGCTATAATTAATCAAAAAGATAGCTATGGAATATAATTTTTTAAAAGGGTATTTATTTAAAATAAATAAGGTATCAACTTTTGCGATATGAGACAAAAATTCCGTTCCTACAGGTAATCTGAATCTTACCGACAACCTCTCCTCCTCAGTTTTTGCTATTTAGCAGCAAAATGAATAGTAGTTGATATTTTTTGCCAATACATTGAAAATATCTACAAGATTTTGACTTTAAAATGTATCATTAGCTAGAAATTGTTGCTATCGGATTTCAATAATTACCGTCACATCAGCCCCTAAAGGGTAAAAGCCATTCTTATCCCTATACTATTGTAAATAGTATACGTTTGTTCTTCTGTTCACTTTAATCCCAAACCCAACCTACGTTATCAAACTTGATGGAATTGCCCTTAACCCTAACGGATCTATACCATGGCAGCTGACCCCTTTCAATTTTTTCCATGTCAGTTGTCATGTCAGCAAACAATTCTTTCGTCATTTCTATCGTTCAATTGAGAAAAAACTTGTGGCTCTATTAATTCCTTTGCTTTTTCCTGTTTTGTCTCATCCCCTTTCTACTGAAACATTTCCGGGTCACAGTTGGTTTAGCAATTACATTATGTTAGATGAACAAATAATGGTCAAGCAACTTAAAGAGAAAACATAAAAGGGTATAAAGTCCATTAACTCTGTCTTAGTTCTAAATTAATTCGAGTCAGAATTTTCAGTATTTATTAAAAAATATCCAAACCCATATTATTCTAATAATAAGTAACGAAACAATTAACGATAAAGACATTTGCCACAAATCAGCCTTCACCTATGCTTTGCCCACTTGGTTCTGTTATGTATTTGCTAATAAATTCGTCTGAAAATCGGGCGAAGATGGAAGCAGCATCCACTGGGGATGGCGTCATAGTAAAATCAACTGTTTTCTTCTTCCATCTAAAAAATCAACCATTTTCTTCTAGGAAGTAATTCTAGGGCTCAGTACTCTTAAAACTCACAAATTTTCACTACCATTTTCCACGTCAATCAATGGTGGCTCAGTCATTTATTAATAAATCTCACCGTTATTACTTCGCAACTACCGCCATCAGATTCCAATAATAAAATCTCCCAATCAGTTCCATCTCTGGCACCGTCGATTCAGCCTTACTCAGTCGTACCTCCGTTGTTTCTTCCTACGGTGCCACCATCACTGATAGTGTTGGAATGTTGAACCGGAATCATGTGTCAAATAACCCTAAACCCAATTTGGATATGAAGAAGACGATACAGTCGAAGAAGAAGAAAGAGAAAGACAACTATTGCACACAATAGGTTACAACATAACTAGAGCTGAAGACCCAAATGTATTGGGTATAACAAGTGTATGGGCCAACTGGGCCAGTACACAGAACAAACAAAATGCAGGCCCAATACAAACACAAGCCAATACAAATACAAGCCTGGTCCTATTGTTACAGATCCGGTCCAATAGCTTTTAGCATAATTGGATACAGCTGAAAGACGCTTAATTCTTCCAGCATAATCATATCCAAATGCAATTTACAACTATGTACGCACTTTACAACTATGTAATATCTGTACACATTATGTGCACTTATGACAAGGACAACAAATAAAGTATTAGACACTTGTAACTAGTATAGCTGTAGCTTATATTTTTATCTATTGAATACTTGTATAAATAGATACATTGTACAGAATATTAGACAGTGAATGAGAAAAGGAATTTCTTCTAAATTCTTACATGATATCAGAGCAGTAGCTATCTGAAACTCAACCTACATTTTTTTCAGCCTTCTCTTCCTCCTTAAAATGGCACCAAATTCCACAGATGATTCTTCAAACATTTCTGCAGCTCGCACAATTACTCAACCAGATGCTATGGATTCCACTCACCTCTATTACCTTCATCCATCAGATTCACCTGGAATGGTTCTTGTCAACTCAGTATTTGATGGGAAGGGATTTGGAGGATGGCGTAGAGCCATAGTCATTGCACTCTCTGCCAAGAATAAACTTGGTTTTATTGATGGAACATATTATGAACCTGATGCTTCTTCCACTAACTTCAAGCAGTGGAATCGTTGCAACGATATGGTTATATCGTGGATCTTGAATTCTCTATCTAAGGACATAGCTGAAAGTGTCCTTTATTCAAAAACTGCAAATGCAATTTGGAAAGAACTTGAGGATAGATTCGGACAATGCAATGGTGCTCAACTTTATCAATTACAAAAGGAGTTGAGTGACCTAGTGCAAAGTACCTCTGATATAGCATGATACTATACAAAGGTAAAAAGGATTTGGGATGAGTTGGATACCTTGAATAGTTGTGTGCAATGCATCTGTGAATGTAATTGTGGAGGAAAGTCAAGAGCTTTAAAGTCTTTTCAAGATGGTAGGCTAATCCAATTTCTCATGGGACTTAATGATGCATACACAGCTGTAAGGAGTAATATCCTAATGCTTACTCTTCTTCCAAGTATCAATCAAGCCTATTCTCTTCTCATTCAAGATGAGAAGCAAAGAGAAATTCATGTTGCACAAAACCCAGTTGAGACTGCTTTTCTGGCACAACATCAACCAATCTATTTTCAGAAATATGCTAATGGAGAAGGAAAGCTGAAAGCAAATCTTGAAGGAAAGAAGAATAACCTGGTATGCAACTATTGCAAGAAGACCGGACATTCCATTGATAACTGCTATAGAATCATTGGTTTTCCCTCCACCTTCAAATTTACCAAATTCAAAAGGTATCAAGGAGGACCTCACATCAATGCAGCACTCATGCATAAAGAAAACACAAGTCAATCAGTCAACACAATAGAAGGAAATACATCAGGGAAAGTCATCACTCAAGAGCAATTCAGTCAGTTTTACCAACTTCTTCAGCAGGTGAAGGTTGGACAACAGGGTGAGCAGTTTTCTAATGCAAATGCTAGTGCTAAATGTGCTGGTAAAATAATCAATACCCCTAATCTATATTGTCTTTCTTGTCTTCTTTACATGAATTCTACCTCCTGGATAATAGATTCATGAGCTTCAGAACATATGACTTTCGATTATTCCATTTTATTAAATGTGAAGCCTCTAAGAAAATCTTTATACGTGAATCTCCCAAATTCATACAGAGTTAAGGTCAGTCAAGTTGGTAGTTTGCATGTTCTACCAGATTTAATCCTAAACAATGTGTTATATGTTCCAGATTTCAGGTTTAATCTAATTTCAGTTCACAAACTCACTAAACAACTCACCTGTACCTTATTGTTCTCATCTTTTGGCACATTCTTGCAGGGCCCTTCGCTGAAGAGGTCAGTGGTAGTTGGTGAAGTCAAGGAAGGTCTATATCTTATTAATCCAGCTTCTCTAAGTTCTGGCCTAGTTTATGGAAATCAATCAATTTTTCAGTCTTATTCAGCTTGTAACAATCTAAAGAGAGACATTCTCTCATTCAGTTTCTTGTTCTGCTAGGGTCAACTCTAATGTAAGTCTGTGGCATAAAAGTTTGGGGCATATGCTTCTATCTAGTATGCAAAATATAACCAGTTTTCAATTTCCTTCTCTTGCCAAGTTTAATCATCCTTGTGATATATGTTGTCAAGCTAGGCAGGCAAAATTGCCTTTTCAGTCAAGCAATATCAACACAAATTCAATTTTTCAACTAATTCATGTCGATACTTGGGGACCTGACAAGATCCCAACTCATGATGGTTATAAATATTTCTTGACCATAGTAGAAGACTATAGTATGGGAACATGAACTTATCTTTTACGAACAAAAAGCAATGCTTTCCCATTTTTGAAATCCTTTCTAGCAATGGTAGAAAGACAATTTGCAACTAAAGTTAAAATCATTCGTTCAGATAATGCTTTGGAATTAGGTTCAGGATCCGTTCTTTCAAGTTTTTTGTCTTCTAATGGAATCCTTCATCAAACCTCTAGTGTTGGTACACCACAACAAAATGGAGTGGTCGAACGAAAATATAAACATCTTCTAGAAATATGTAGGGCTCTATTATTCCAATCTAATCTCCCCACTATGTATTGGAGTGATTGTTTGTTAACTGCTACTTTTTTAATAAATCGTTTTCCCTCTAAAGTTCTTGATTTTAAAACACCTTTTGAAATTCTTTTTGGGAAAGTTCCAATTTATGCTTTCCTAAGATGTTTCGGTTGTCTATATTATGCCTCTACTCTATCTCATCATTGGTCAAAACTTGAATCTAGATCAGTGAAGTGTTTTTTTTAGGATATCCTTTTGGGAAGAAAGGATACAAACTGTTGGATCTTCAATCTAAAACCATTTTTATCTCTAGAAATGTAGTTTTTTATGAGGATATATTCCCTTTTTCCTCTCTTTCACTTGAACCTCCCATTTTTCCTAAAGAATTTTCCACTGTACACGACCAAACTCATCCTTTCCCTCAGTATGATAACCAACCTTCTTCAGAACCAGATCTTATTCCTTCTCCCTCTCTATCCATAACACCACCAAGAACAGCTCCTACTTCATCCGCTACATCTAGGTTAAATTCATCTCCGTCTTCTATTCCTGTTCAACCTGAACTAAGGAGATCTACTAGGGAACACAATCCACTATCTTATCTGACAGATTATGTATGCAATGCCGTATATTTGACTGATCTAACCAATTCTTGCTTTGCAGCACCAGTCTCACCTACTACTATGACTTTCACTGACCTCTCTCCATCCAATCAATCTCTTCTAAATTCTATCTCTCATATCATTGAACCTACAAGTTTCTCTCAAGCAGTTTTACATCCCAGTTGGCAGGATGCAATGGCAATAGAACTTCAAGCCTTGGAGACCAACCAAACTTGGGAAGTGGTTGAACTACCAAGAGGCAAGAAACCTTTACCTTGTAAATGGATCTATAAGGTTAAATATAGATCTGATGGAAGTATTAAAAGGTTCAAAGCTCGACTAGTTATACGAAGAGACATACAAAGGGAAGAAATAGACTACAATGAGACTTTTAGTCCAGTGGTGAAAATGACTACTGTTAGATGCATCTTAGCCATTGCAGTGAAAATGAATTGGAAATTATTTCAATTAGATGTCAATAACGCTTTTCTTCATGGTGATCTACTGGAAGAAGTATACATGATATTTCCACCAGGTATGGTTTCACCTTCCACTAATCATGTGTGCAGATTAAAAAAGTCCTTATATGGACTCAAACAGTCTTCACGACAGTGGTACGCAAGACTCACTGGTTCCCTCAATTTCAAATGCTATTCCCATTCTCTTAATGACTATTCTTTATTTTTCAAAAAGACAACTTCTGGAATTTCTATTGTGGCTGTTTATGTCGATGACATACTTCTCACGGGTGACGATCCTACAGAACTTTCTAATCTAAAGGACTTCCTCAATTCCGAATTCAAAATCAAAGATCTTGGAGAAGCCAATTATTTTCTTGCAATGGAAATAATACGAGAAAAATAGGGACTAATTATCAGTCAAAGAAAGTTCACCTTAGAGCTTTTTTTTGAATTTGGTGTTCTCGGTTCACGGCCAACTTCCTCTTTGCTGGATCCTAATTGCAAGCTTCGAGCCGATGTTGGTGAACCTCTTCACGATCCAACCATCTACAGGCGACTCTTGGGAAAACTCAATTTTTTAACCCACACTCGCCCTGACCTCTCATTTGCAGTTCAACATCTGAGCCAATATATGCAAAGCCCACGTCGACCTCATTTTGATACTAGGCTACATTGTCTAAGATATTTGCTATCTTCACCCGGAGTTGGGCTCTTTATTAAATCAGACCCCTCTTTTTCATTAATGGATTTTTGCGACTCGGATTGGGGGTCTTGTCCGGAATCTCGTCATTCAGTCAGTGGCTTCTATATCAATCTCGGCGGCTCTCCTATTTCATGAAAATCAAAGAAACAATCTTCAATTTCACTATCTTCTGCCGAGGCCGAGTACCGTTCTATGAAGAAGGTTGTTGCTGAACTAACATGACTTGTACGCCTTCTCACAGATCTCTCGCTTTCCCCAAGCTTACCAGTTTCTCTACATTCAGATAGCCAGGTCGCTGTTCACATAGCAAAAAACCCTGTCTTCCACGAACGAACAAAACACGTGGAAAATAGATTGCCATTTTGTCTGTCAACAGTACCTCGCCGGACTGATCTCCTTATCTTTTGTTCCGTCGAAATCCCAGTTAGTCGATGTCTTCACCAAACCTTTTTCTAGACCACTACACGGTGCGATCGTTTCCAAGTTGGGGTTGATTTCTCACCCCTCCAACTTGAGGGAGGGTGTTGGAATGTTGGACCATAATCATGTGTCAAAGAACCCCAAACCCAATTTGGATATGAAGAAGACGATACAGTCGAAGAAGACGATACAGTCGAAGAAGAAGAAAGAGAAAGACAGCTATTGCACACAATAGGTTACAACATAACCAGAGCTGAAGACCCAAATGTATTGGGTATAACAAGTGTATGGGCCAACTGGGCCAGTATACAGAACAAACAAAATGCAGGCCCAATACAAACACAAGTCTGGTCCTATTGTTACAGATCCGGTCCAATAGCTTTTAGCATAATTGGATACAGCTGAAAGACACTTAATTTTTCCAGCATAATCATATCCAAATGCACTTTACAACTATGTAATATCTGTACACGTTATGTGCACTTATGACAAGGACAACAAATAAAGTATTAGACACTTGTAACTAGTATAGCTGTAGCTTATATTTTTATCTATTGAATACTTGTATAAATAGATACATTGTACAGAATATTAGACAGTGAATGAGAGAAGGAATTTCTTCTAAATTCTTACAGGTAGTGGGTGAGACAGATATTTGGGGGAGATATTTTGAGGCGGGTTGATGAAGGGTCACGGGTGGGAGACGGGTGATGTAATAGGGTTTGTGGGGTTTTAATTTGGTGGGTTCGAGTGACTTGGCAACTGACATGGAAAAAAATTTAAGGAGTCAGCTGCCACGATATAGATCCGTTAGGGTTAGGGGCAATTCCATCAAGTTTGTTAACGGTAGGGTGGGTTTTGGACGTAAAGTGAAACGAAGGACGAACGTGTACTATTTACAATAGTACATGGGTAATAATGACCTTTTTCCCACCCTAAATTGATTCATTTCCTTATTATCGTTCTATTTTTTAATGCATTTATTTTCCATTTCTTAGTGTCATAAAATTTTAAGCTTCCCCTTATCTTTTTATCCTAGCTGTATGGGAATTGGGAAGTAAATGTATACGAAAAGCAAAACCATCATATCA